AAGAGACCAAGAGTAACATTATGGTCATTAGGGGAATCTATGGTAGGAGAGCCGAGGTGGCTCACCGAGTAAGGCGCTGGCGCGATAGCTAGGAGATCATAGTTTCAATCCCGGTGTTGTCCCAGGCAGTTGCTCTGTATTTTCCGGCTTGGTTTCACCTTGTCAGTGGTGCAGAGTGGAAGCTTGACAAGGAACGTCGTTTAGCTGTTGGGGTGGGACGAAAAACGGAGGTTCCGTGTTTAATTCGCGTGCAAAAAAAGAACAATTAAAAGTTTGAATTCAAAATAAGAGTAGGCCGTAGCGCCACTGTCTGGGCAAAATTACTTTAAAGATACACTGGAAAATGCCCATCTTCAGAGGGGGTTAAAAGTAGGAAATTAAAACTCATCTAATTTCATTTAAATTTATGGTCGTCTGCATCCACATTGTACATTTTCTGCCCGGGGAGTTATGCCCCTTGATTAATAAAAGTGAAACCTATCGTGGATCGTTCACTCGACACAAACTAGGTCATTTCGTGACCAACAGATGGTTTTAATTTTATTTCAATAATTCGCTTGCGCGTAGGGGGTTTAGCAGAGGGGGGGGGGGGCGTATCGCTTGTGAAATTTGGACAGAGTGCAGAAGGGGGTTTAACTTTTCTGCAACAACTTGTATATAATAAAGAAGGGTATTGACAACAACTTTAGACGTCCTGTTTCCGAAACCTTGTTCACGGTTCAGGATCCACGCTTATCATTAGCTTTTTCATAATGTATTTTTTCAGGCTACAATAAGAAAAGTACCGTATCGCATTTTAGAAATTTCCAGCTGCAATTCCTTTCAGAAATATTTATTGATTATCAAATCTTGTATTGGCTAGGCCCTGAGATAAAATAAGATCGGAAATGAGATTGTAGACGGGCATGCGACATGAAGTGTTAAGGAGGTCATTTCTCTTCATCGAATTCCAGCTGTCAAAGACAGGGCCCTCACATGGGGGTGGGAGGTGCATATACCAGGAGGTGACACATCTTGGGGGCGGCAAATTATATAAAATAGTAAACCACATAACAGTTTTTACATATAAGTTGATAAATAGTTATTTAGATAAAGATTTGATAGTATAAAAATTGTATATTAAAATTTCTTTATCATTAAAAATCAACACAGGCACTGAACAAAGCAGTTACAGTATGCAAGTGTTTGGGGGCGGGGGGCGTCACTGAAACTTTTGCCCACATAAGCTTGTGAGGGCCCTGGTCAAAGGTACTTCCATGTGCACACTAAGATGTGCAAGGTTAGACCTTGGGTATTTGACCCTCTGAACAACTAATCACTTATTCTTGTAAACCAAATAGCAAATATACGCCGACATTTCATGTTAACTCTCTACAGCACAGCGGATTTGAGCATTGTTTTCAAACCTACCTGAACTTCATTGAAAAGTCAACTATGCATAGAGATTGTTTGGCTGGTCCTAATGGGGGACCGTATTGAAATTCATGCGAAGGGTTACTGCCCTGCCAGTATTTAATGCAGTTGTGTGTTTTCTAGAGGTCAGAGATTCGAAAATTTTCTTTCGGGCTTGGTTTTAAATTTGCTGGATGGGAACCTTTTCGACATTTAGAAATTCCTGCTCATGTCATCGGAAACTGGCGAGGATTGACCTAGTCCTTAGTGGGGGGGGGGGGGGCTATTAAAATTCAGATTTCACAAATGGTACATAAATGTTTAATGGGAAGCACGGATGTAGGTAGCATCCGAGCTCATTTGAATCTGGATTGGTTTTTCATCTCAATTTTGAAATCAATATACTCAAATGATGTCGATCAATCAAACGCCCACTAAATTCCCAGAAATATTTTGACAGGCGCACAAAAGCTTTGTTTCGTGAGAAGAAGAAGATAGTTAGAAGTGGGGTTTAACGTTTCTACTCGTCACAAACTAGAGAGAGAGAGAAATGGGGTTTAACGTCCACTCGACACAAACTAGGTCATTTCGGGACTAACATATGGTTTAATTTTATTTCAATAATTCGCTTGCGCGTAGCATTTGGAGGAAACCGGAGGACCCGGAGAAAACCCACGAGGTTGGACAGGCGACCCTACTCCTTGTCACGTACAACCGGGGATTCGAAACCACGCCAGTCGACTCAATGACAGACTTTATGATAAAGCGCGAGCACGCTAACCATTCAGCCATCCAACCCCCCTCGTCACAAACTAGGTCATTGAAGGACACAGAGAAAACCTCATACGGGTCTTCACTTTTATAAAAAAAAGGAAATACATGTATGTATAATTTATGACTTCTGTAACTATAAGTATTACTTCACTGGTAATTATTGACCTATTAAAGTAATTTATTTCTTTTTGTTAAACAATTATTGGTAAAAAGCACTTTCTTCGTGACTTTTTTTTGCCCTTAAGTGTTATGTATTATTTTATTGGGCATTATATTGAGTTATTTACCATAAATTGTTCTAAACTGACAGGTGAAAATGCAGGTAAGAAATTTTCTCACATAATTAAATCATATTTCCATAAGGTATTAAATGGGATGGATAAAATAAAACCAAGTACAAACAATTCAAACCATTAGATACAATTGTAAAAAACGGTATCCGCAAAATAGTGTAATCAGCAACTGGACTGTTCACCATAATACAAAATACATGATGAACAGGTGTTCGGAAGAGTAAGTTTACCCTGCCTGGCGCCACACCCGCCATAGCTGCATCTAAACCATTTGACGAAATGAAGGCATCTTTTACGTGCACGCAATGTATACACAGGACCGTTTTTTTTTTGTCCCATCAAAACAACCAGGCCCTGCTCCACTGACAAGCGCAAACCACGCCGGAAAATGCCTGTATCTGTTTAACGATGGCATTAGTTGGCTGTCAGTCGAGGAGGTTACCCTTAGCAAAAAGTCATAGATAACCAGTGTAATTTTCTATACAACATTCTAGGGAGTTTTCTGTAGTAAATTCTAAGGTTATCGTTTTGTCTTTAATCATGTTTTGTGAAAAGACTGCACAGTTATCCCATTGTCTCCAGTTTCTAGTTAACTGTCCGTTAGCTAACGAATAATGAAATTGACTTTCCAGCAACAAAAATGTAACGGACCGTTAACAGACCGTTAAAGTTTAACGGATCGTTAAAATAACTTTGTTTTGAGCAACCGGTCCTAGGTCAATATGACGGCCATAAAACTGTTTATGGGTCTTTCTAAGTTTAGTGGGCAAGTATCCCTGTAGTTGAAGCTTAGATGACAAATATCTCGATCTACTTAAAAGGAACAACCTCCCGCGTATCGAATTAACGGAGACACAAGCTGGTGATAGTTGAATGTTACTCCATGTACTAAGAAACCCGTCTTCATTAGCCCAGTTTAGGAGTAGGACGTTAAACTCTATTTTATTTCATTGTACTAAGAAACGGAAAGTTGACAATCGGAAAGTCAAAGTCTTAGTTATCACGTTTACCGTATACTCATAACGTACTTCAGGTATATTGTAACATCATCACCGCTTTATCCAGTATCAAATAATCGGAATTTAATAATTTAATAAATTTCGTAGAATGCAGTTAAAGTCCTTTTAATAGTATACAACGTGGAAAGACAAATTAACGGGTAGGGATAAGAATCTCATTTCACAAGAAATTGTGAAGAGACACCACACAACATACGCCATATTAAAGATACATTATGGGAGATTAGATAAAGAGCTGGCAGATATCACTATAATAGTTAAAAACTAGATAATATAAAGGGAATTTTCTGAAAATTTCAGTCAAATTGATCCACCCTGAAGCGAAATTTTAGCGATTGAATTTTCGGCCTAGCCTCGATCATCATTACTAAAGTCGGTACGATTAAAAAAAAAATAGTCTCGATTATCCATTTCATGATTAAATCATGAATGGAAGTCGAACAGCAAATCGGAATCTAATCCAATAAACATCGCAGGCTAGCTATGACATCGAGAGTTGATTATGGTCTGGATAAGTTAATTAATATCTAATTAATAATTTAGATAACATTTCAGACCTAAAGAAAGACCTTTAATAGGCTCTTGCATAATGTATGTTTAAATATGGGTATATACGCCCACAGGAGTTACAAGATTATGAACATCCTCACATTAACTTTATAAAGGTAATAATTTCCAGCCAATCGTTTGGGACAATGGGGTGCTAGATTTTTCACAATGATGATCAAGGAAGTTACCTTGAACGCAATTACAAAAATCGTCCAAAATTTAAAAGGCAAGATAATTATATATATCTGTCACTAGGAATAGGCTATATACATGACATATGATCTAGTTACATTAGATATATGGATCCTGTGTGTTTGATAAATGTAAATATTACATGTATATATTATGTTCCTTAAAAAAAATGTTACACCCAAAATGAATCTGGAGCAACGGTGGATAAGTGGGTAAGACGCTGGCTCGATAGCGTGGAGGTCGCCTGTTCGACCCCTGCATTGGCCGAGAAAGTTCATCGGCATTTTCCAGCGTGGCTTGCCCTTGTCAGTGGTGCAGGACAGGGGTTTGGTGAGAAAACTGTCTAGTTGTTCGGATGGGACAAAAACGAGGCCCTGTGTATACATTGCGTGCACGTAAAAGATCCCTTAGAGGTTGGAATTCAATATAAAAGCAGACAATAATGCCACTGCCTGGACAAAATTTCCCTCATAGTACACTGAATGGCGTATGCCCGTATTCATTAGCCCAATCGGGGCAGAACAGTTGGACGTTATACCCCATTTCATTTTTCATTTTCAAGGTAAATCCTGATTTCCTGTGAATAAATGTTCCAATTCCATAATGAACTAACCATGTAACAAAAATCAACGGGCATCCTCGTCAAGACTGCAAGGACGACAAACGGACGAACGGATATGCGTGACATGAACATTAAATTTAAATTGTGTCATATATAAAATAAAAGTGCATGTAACATATACTGCTATAAATATAACACACAAGAAAACACTGAAATGTATTTGTTTCGTGTTTATATTTGATTTGTGATGGGTGGGTTTACAAGCTTACAACATATAACAATAAATTATAATTTTACAACACCATGCCCTTATACAAATAAAGATCTCTTTGTTAAACAGCTGATTGTTGCTATACTAAAAATAAATATGTAAAAAGTTCCATCTTTTTATGGAAGGCGACCTAAACCCTTTCAAGAAGAAAATAAATCTTATCAGAATTTTGTATACAATCTAATTTGAACAATCTTGATTTAACTTACACATGGCATTCTGGCCTAATAGCAAACAGATCAAACTATATCAAACATTGTGTAGGTAATTTCTACTGGGTATTCCCACACACGACCAAGACACAGCGCCTCGATACAAATGCCAGCATGACATCTTACACTCCTCATCACAAACAGGTTCTTAAAAGAGAAACACCAGCATTATTTTGATTGATTTAATCGGTTAGTGGCGAGGCTTTTTGCAGAATTGATGAAAAGAGGGGTCCTGCCTAGTATACGGAAACACGTCAATGACACGGGGAAAATAATTTATTTTGTCAGGGAGAAGAAAATCTCATAGCAATGTACATATATAAATTAACGGCAGAAATAAAATGGTACAAAGAAATAAAAATAAATATTTGATACGATTGAAAAAAACCAAACAAACAAAAACAATAAATAAATGAACAAACGATATGAAGGAGGTTAAAACGATACGACCACAAGTATTAAGTTCAGTCGCTGAATACGGTAGAGAGATGGGGTTGTTGCCAGCCCATGGAATGGACCGCATGGTGTAGCCTGGTAGTTACGCACCTGTATAACAATGTATTGTATGTTTACATAATGTTCCTAATAATAAACCTGTTTTACCTGAAGTGTGTCCTGGGGTTTTTTATTTGTTTTAAAAAAGTGGGCATTTATCTACATTTCAAATTTTAAGTCTGAAGATAGAACTAATAGTCGACACGTGAACTTAATTTTAGGTCCGCAGAAATGAGAAGTGGCATCAAGGATTAGTTTAAAATTCACGCGTATAAGAACTTAATGATATGTGAAGTGGTTTCAGGAGCCCCGGAAATGAAATGCGCCCCCTACCCAGTAGACGACAACTGACACTGTAACTATGAGGAAATTAGGAACCAGTTAACAGGTAGGAAACAATAAGCTGGGCACTGTAGAATACTTCCCTCTAACTAACGTATGGTCATATTAGAAGAGATAATTGTGACATGGCTGCTCCTTTTCTTGCATCTTGAAATTGTCCCATTCGAACGACTAAACACACACTACTGTTTAGCGAGTCGTTATACCTTATATGTTGGAAGTTGGCTTTCCTTCAGCTTTACAAGACATATGCACAATACGAGGGGCAGGAGTTGGCCAGGGCAGCATAACGCTTTGAATATTTATATGCATGGTAATCTTTCCACATTAAACAAAAGAACACATTACATTCAGCATAAACATAGCACCGGTTAAAACAGCAAGGAAGCACAATCAATAACCGTGTATGTCGTCATGCAAATGTCAGCGTTTCAAGAAAAGAGTGGTAAGATATTGTTTCCACCACCATGCCTTGTTGACATTACTGGTTTCAACGATCTCTGTACCATATTCACCGGCTCTCTGGCCGCCATGATGAATATAACATCTAAAACTACGTAGATACAATACTGGGGATCCGCTTGACCCGGGGCAGGTTTTACCAGTATACGATACACTACATCGATATTCTGCCCCCGTCAGGTCTAGATTAATACCCAGATCACGCCCGAAGGTTACCATCTTTCTCCAACCATGCGGATGCCCTACGATGACAACGGTTTTTATTGGACAATGGGCGGATAACTCATCCTGTAAATTCAAATGATCAATTACGTCCTTGGGTGGCGGTTTAAAGGGAACCATCCAGAACGGAGTGGTGGCTAATCTAAGTGCTTCAAAGCCTCCTGTATTTAACATATGTTTAAAGTCCATGTCAAGACCTTTGATGTTTGCCGTGAACAAAGTGGTGTTTTTGAAATACACGCCAACTCCGGTACTAATACTTCCGTCTGCAAATTGTATTTGGCAGTTCTTTGCTTCTTGTTCGGTGAGTGGTTTTGGAAGACAAATGCAAATCTGATCAGATATTTTCTCTACAGTTCCAGTCGCTGTTCTTATCTGACTGTTTTCGTCCAGCATCCTAACGGTAGCCGTTGGTGCAAGATATTCCCCGGCTGGATTGACCGCCATTAAGATTTCTGGAATAGGTTGAAATTTTATAAAGTTACTTGCCAATTCGCTTCTGGTGCCATCAAAAAATGGTATGGTAATATCTGTCAATTTATTTAGGTCAAAGCAATGAGGTATGGCTAACAGTGCGCAATCATTGACCTTATACGGCATAGTAAGAGCGTTCGATCGCTCCTGGACACCATTTTGATTTACCGCCATGACATCCGGCATAAATAAACTGTCCTCAACCAAATCTAATTCTTGGATCATTTTCGGTATTGGTAGAAATGAAATCAGGGTTTTGTCTAATAGCTCCGAAGTCTCCAATAGGCCAGTGCCCTCACACTGAATTATATTTGACCTGTCCTCGCTGTCGTAGTTGAATTCAATCAGACATCTTTTAGCCTCTTTATCATTTCTGATAACGTGATTATTTGTTGAGATGACGTACTGACCGTCAAATTTACTCACATAACCAGTGCCGTACCATTTCGTTTGGTCTGGCCGGATGATAACGAGTCGAACTACCAGCTTGGCTCGATACTTGATGAACTCCAATACTTTATCAATCCTCCATTCTTCTGGAAGATGCTCCATGGATAAATCCGTAAAGGGTATAAATCCTTCATGTCCTGGGTTTTTTGGGCAGGTAATATTGACATCATCTACCACGTCAGATTCACTTCCAACTTCTACTTTAAATTCTGTAGCCGACATGATTTACTAGACCTAAAAAGAAAATCAAATGGGTTTAACGTCCTAGTGTTCTACACCAACCGGGCTAATGAATAAATAAAATGGGGTTTAACGTCCCATTGTTCTGTACCAACCGAGATAATGAAGACATACATACGCCGTACAGTGAGATGCGACGGAACGTGCACGCCGATGTGTATACGTTAATTCGTTTTTTCGGACCATCCGACGCTGGTGAAACCACTCTGGGAAATCCCGGGCAACTTTATCGGACAATACCGGCAGCGAATGCAAGATCGCCTGGTTACCTACTGAGCAACCGTGACTTCCATAACAAACCTATATACGAATAGAAATATAAGAAAATAAAAGCAGAATAGAATGACTGTCCTGGAAAATCTGATTTATGGTAGTATTTTATCTTGCTACTAAAAAGGTTGTATTTAAAGACCCGAAATTCCAGAATAAAGTTTACATAAGACTTTTTGGTCCAAAACTTATTCAAATCGACCAAATCTAAGTTATTGCCATTTTAAGCTTACATTGGTTTATATTGATGTCATACCGCGCCATTTTCATCTTTCTTGGACAAGGGAGCCTCGATGGCTCAGTGTGTAAGACGTTGGCTCACTAGCCTGGAGGCCCCGTGTTTGATCCCGGTGTTGGCCGAGAAAGTTCTCTGGATTTTCCGGCGTTGCCCCTCTTGTCAGTGGTGCAGGACAGGGGACCGGATAATGGACAACGTGTAGTCGTTCGGATGGGACGAAAAAACGAGGCCCCGTGTATTCATTGGCTTGCACATAAAAGAACCCATGACAGTTGAAATTCTATATAAGAGTAGATCATAGCGCCGCTGTCCGGGCACAATTCTCTGCATAGCACACTGTATGGCGTATGTCCGTCTTTATTAGCCTTGTCGAAGCATTTCATTTCATTTCATTTATCTTGGACAAATTTCCCACATAAAGGTATTTTTAAAGATGAGCCTAATTACCTAATAACAACAAACTTTATATTAAAATAGTACATATTTCTAACTTGTGATATATATGTAAACAGTCTAACTTGTCGTAAATTTATTGCCCTGGTGATATCGCTTCTTAATCAACCCTTCCGCCTTAGTATAAATTTACACAAGACGTAAATTACGGGAATTATCTACTAACAGTCTCTTCTTGTAAGATGCTGGGTATTACCGATTCCTTTTATGTTTACACAATTTTGACAAATTATCATGTAAAAAATACAGAAACCAGATTCTATTTTTATAATTAATGTAAACAAACCACAAAATCCTGAGGTTATATCAGACATTAAACGGGTGGCTTATCATTTATTTATCAGAATTCTAGAAATAACAGAATTCCCAACTGTTACATTCAACTACTTTATTTACTTACACGCCTCCATACTGTCAGTGTTATAAACAAGAAACGATAGAAAATGAAATGAAATGAACTGGGCTAATGAAGACGGGCATACGTCATACACGGTGTGCTATGAGAGAAATTTTGCCCGGACAGCGGCACTACGGCCTACTCTTCAATCGAATTCCAACTGTCAAGGGATCTTTTACGTGCACGCCAATGTGTACACGGGACCTCGGTTTTTCGTCCCACCCGAACGACTAGACAGCTTTTTTATTATTTGAGTTAAACATACGAGCACAGAGAAGTGTTATTTAGGATATTAAATGTAGGTTTAGATAAATAAACCACGTGGTCAATAGATATCGTAAAGACCGATAGAAGGGTGAATGTTTAACATGAAAGAATATAATTTTCCTACCGCCACAAAACGAAAATTGTGCCGTTTTGTTGAACATTTTTCAAACCGCGATCTCTATACTACTATATAAATTATGGGGGTTCATACAGAATAATCATTTTTATAAACTTAGACAAAGTAACTTATAAAGTTGAATATTTGGACTAGTATGTTTAATACACCCATTGCAAATTTTACTTAGAATAGAATATAATTTTATGGCATCGAAACGTCCTTTGATGACAGGGTTCACCATACAAAGCAATAATAATAAAAAAAAAGCAGCACATACTTAAAATGACAATATATGACGTTGATCCGTTACGCAGGTGTCGCCGAACAGTACTATTAATTGCACACTGTCATTTCGATCCAGGTAGACCGAGTACTTCAACGAGAGATAAATATACCTTTTTTCCCGGGGAATTATATCGTCGATTTATTTATCAATGTTGACCCTTAAAAGCAAACACGGTGTCTGTTATTTAAACAAAACTCTACACACAAATTATTTGACCTAATAGTAAAACTAAATATCTATTTGTGTTATAAAAGGTTAGCGTATCGACAAAACAAAATGTTGCTGGTCTTTTTGAGCCTAACAAACAAGCTAGGTCCCGCTCCTCCATTTTTAGCTTAAATCAAAATATGACTGAACTGTTCTAATCTATTTAATATCGGAGAAATCCGATGCCATTGAGAGTTGATTATAGCCTGGATAAGTTAATTAATGTCTAATTAATAATTTAGAAAACATTTCAGGCCTAAAGAAAGACCTGCAATAGGCAGATTTAGCTCTTGCGTAATGCATGTTTAAAATAACATTAACGATTGGTATATAAAAGCTTCTAAACATTTTCAAATATTTACATTTGTACTTGAGCATCATTCAGTTCATCAACATTTGGTCCATAATATAAGATACTCACCCTCTGCTTGCATGCAGTCGTATAGCTTACAAAACATATAATCGATATGCACACTTTGTTGCATCTAGTTCGCTTCTGGTATCATACTTCGTAAACACCCAAATAATACCAGCAAATATTTCCTCCCCGAAAGCTGGAAACATCTTGAAATAAACCCAGGTTTTCCCAGAGAATAGAGAAATTCGTGAGTTATTTAGCAACCGTCCATGACCTTGTAACAGTGTCTACAGTAACTAATCAGCAGCGTAAGGAGGTTACAACCGATATAAATGAACACTCGATTCACGGAGAATTTGGCTGCAGATATAGAAACTATTTATGTGGGGTTTTTTTTTCGTGTGCATAAAATACAGTCATTTGATCTCATTTAAACTGATAAAGTACACACTGACATATTTATTATTTTGCTATTTAATAGCAGGATAAGTGGGTTGTAGATAATATGCATTTATTATTACAAAAAGTATGCACACATTATCTATACTTTTTACTAGCAATATTGCAACACTCAATAAAAATTTCAAAATATGCACTAAGCAAATATGAAGTCATATTTTCCTAGAAAAGGTATATGAAATGATAATTAAACCTTTTTTGTTGCATTTTGAACATTCCCCGACAAAGTTTATGTCTTTTCCACAAAATGAATTTTAAGAGTATACTGAATAATCTTTTGGACAAGAAAAACAATTTTTCGATACAGACAGGAACCCATATGATCCTTAAAGATGCCGTTCCGTGCATAAACTCTGTTTTGGTGATAAAATTGGACTAAAAACATATTTAAACTAATTAAACTGTAAAAAGTTATCGTCAAATCTCTCTTTAAACAGTTTTAGTGGAAGAAAACTATCACAAGCTGTAAAAATCTATTTTAAGAAACCTTGTTTGTAACATGACTTGATTGAGAGGATGGCTTATTTAAGTAGCAATTAGAGCACTTGATAAAATTTCCCAATGCACTAACCAAATATGAAGTCATTTTTTCCTAGAAAATGTATATGAACTAATTTAGTTTTTAGTTGCATTCTCCCGGCAAAGTTTTCCTTAAAAGGGTTTTTAAGAGTATTGAATAGATTTTTGGGAAAGAAAAACAATTTTTTGAAAGCGACAGGAACCCATATGATCCTTAAAGATGCCCCCCCCCCCCCGTGTTTAAATTATGCTTTGATGATACTTGTGGACAAAAAATATATTTAAACTACTTTAGCTGTCAAAAGTTAGCTTCAAATCTCTCTCAAAACATTTTAAGTGGAAGAAAATTGTCCCAACCTCTAAAAATCTAATTTAAGAAGCCTTATTTGTTACACGACTTGATTGCATTTGTCGTCATTCGCTGTCCGTTTACTTAATCAAATTCTTTTTCCACCGTTTAAGCCCAAAGTCTGCAATAGTTTGAAGTGTCGCACTATTCTCACAACCGCTAACGATTCAATCAATAAAACCAAGCACCCCCTAACAACAGTTAACGGACAGGCTGTCATTCAGTGACTCCCTTACATTTTTGTTTTGTTGGCGTTTTTCAGGGAATGCAGTATTTTTCTAGTAATTGAGTTTATCTGCTTTGTAGGGCTTGATAAGAATTTCACAATATGTACTACTCACATATATGTACTACTCACATATAAAGTCATATCTACCTAGAAAACACCCACGAACAGATAATAAAATGTTCTTTCTTGAACTGCATTTCGAACATTCCCTAGCAAAGTTTATGTCTTTTCTGAAACGCATTTTTTAAAGTATTGAATAGGGGGGAAAGAAAAACAATTTTCCGATACAGACATAACTAATTTAACTCATGGTTTTATCTATAAAGTAAATTGTGAAGTATTCAAAACTAATAAACAAAAATCTAGTACAATGTTATGTGATTCGAATTTTTAAAGGAACTGTGTAATAAACACTCAAATCTTGTACTTACGCATGATTCATCATATAAGCAAAAATATACCTGCTAATTACCTGCTAATAAAGAAAAAGCTAGTACAATGTAATTTGGTGTTTAAGGATATATAGTTTTACAAAAATGCTCCAAACTTTCACATCAACAATTTCTTCATAAGCCCAGTCGGATGAGAGAAGTAGGAGGTTAAACTCCATTTCATTTCATTTCATCCAGGGGATCAGTCTGACTGACTGCCTTAATATTTGTCTGATCGCCTTGGTGTTGGTTGTAGGTGTCATTCCGAAAACAGTAATTTTTATCATAAATTTAAAACCTGGCGACCATACCAGTATGAAACCTACTCTATAGGCGACGGTGTTACTTCAGCGCTCTATTGGTTCCCGAAAGACCATTTTATGGTAAAATGACTAATTTCGGAATGACACTAAAACCGTGGCGAATATCAGAGACAAAAAGCCCGGTAACCACGCCCCTTAGCATAAACCATACACTGTATGTGACACCGTTACTTTAACATTTGGACTAACTTCATCAAACAGGGTTAGTTGGAATAGAATTAGGTTTAAGGTCCTACCATTCTGCGCCAAGTGGGCTAATGTAGTTTGCAGTGACATCAGACATTAGTTTCCCATCTGTTCGATTTCGTAATCACATAACAATATACTGGCCCTCCTATCAGTTACACCAACTTACCATTCAGTGAAAGTTTCAAGATATTGGGTATAACTTTTCAAGGAAATACGTGGGCTGGCTGAAAAGTTCTAAGCCTATCTGCGAAAGACCTGTACAAAGTCGATGGTTTATATTTATTTTTCTACATAGTCCCCTTCGAGGTGTACACACTTTATCCGACGATGTGCAAGGCCTGGATGCCGATCAGGAATAAAGTTTCTTCAGCTGACATGACGTCATCATTACTAAGAAAATGACAACCGGGTAGTTCTTTTTTCATTTTTGGAAACAGGTGGAAGTCTGGCTGACGGGGTCAAATCTGGACAAAACATTGTCAGGATCGGCTTCAAAACGACGCAGATTGTCCTACACGTTTCTGATCAATCGTCAATCAGCCATCACTATGTCATACGCAGCCGGGTAATGTTTTGAATAATTGCTGTAGATGGCCTTCCAGGACGTGGGTCTTCGTCAAGGCTGCCTCTGTCACGCTTAAATTCCGCAGCCCACTTCTTTACTGTGGAAAAGGAAGGGGAATCACCCCCTAAAGTGAAGACACTACAGTTGCAGTTCTTATGTCTATGATTCATTCAGTGATTGTACGTGTTGGTGGCAAAAGGTTGTTTTAACCCAACTGATCTGTCCTTTTTAGTCTTAAAACATTTCAGCCAGCCCTCATAGGATAATGGATTGCAGATTACATCAACATGGAGCTACTTAAAGTTACAATTTCATATTTTCTAAGAAAGTCAAAACATAATTATTTTTGTGTCTTTTGCTCAATAGGTTGTCAACTCACTATTATACAATCATAGGTTATATTTCTCACACTTAAAAATCTTCACACCGGAAATAATAACACAATTACCTCCCTTGTTTTCCTATTTCCCACCATGGAATAGCTATCTTCAAACGTTTGAATTTGAAGTTGAAAATGATATTTTTGCCAATTTCTCAACTGGCAATAGTGAATTATAGGATTAATAGGACTATTCTTTAACAAGGCAGGACTGTTTATAGATACCATCTATTTTAGGGCTTTATATTAATACATTTTAAAAATATAACTTAAAAATATGAAATCGCAACTTTAATTATAGGTTATTTTAGATTAAAAGAGTTGTTGCCATTTTTTTTTAGATAGAAATAAATAATTCTCGGCCGGCATACTCTTTGATTCTAAAGAAAATCTACTTGATATAGTAAATCTTACATTACTTCCGTGTGCGATTTTGAGTGGTATGACGAGGTATATTTTCTTTGATATAAACATAAATATACTTGTGAAATACAGAGAAGCTCTATTGTCATTTGATGCAAATTGTTTCATCCGTCTTCAAGTTGTGACGGTATAATTACGATAAATAGAAAGAAGTATGGTAAAAGAAATGACCTTTTAGATCTGATGTTAATCAGGGGGTTGACAACCTCATATCTAAAGAAGTAGTAACCTGTGTGTGAACTCGGATGACAGCAATATCCATGTAATTAACCCCTATAAAATAAATTTAGGGATGGATCTCTGGCAGCAGATGATTGTAGATGGATTTATAGTTATCTCAAAAGAATTCTATCCATTATATAGTTTTATTTATTAAGACGCTATTAAATTTTATAACTATAACTGTATTTAACAAATACAAATGAAAGGATTCACGTGTGAAGGAAATCAAATATTTGGAAAATTTCTTTCAATCTTGATTTGTTAGCCTCGCTTTAACATTGCAATCTGATTTCCACACGTTTTCGAGATCTACCTGTTCATGATTACACAGTATTTGTCCAGTTTTCAATTTTTTGATGTTATATACAGTTTGGAAACAACTTCCAGCATTTACAGTTCATTTCTTATATTTAACATTTGTAATAATGACCTCTCCAAATGACCACCAAATTTCAAGTTAACATATATATATCTTCCTTGTTGAATTACAATAATAAACCTGTCTCAAAATAAACATTTATTTGCGTTATGCTGTCTCATTTCAATAAATTGTATTTTGAAACTCAAACTAATATATTGTCTGTGACATTTTGTTGTAGTGGTCGTAACCATACAGTGATTAAAACGCCACACGAAAGTTTATTTTTAACAGCTGCTGAAACGATAAAAGAATATATTTTATCGACCAAAATATTGAACTATTGATACTTAGAATTTCAAGGCACTGCAAGAAAATTTATTTTTTGTCCCCCGCCTTTCGAAGAAAACAAGGGACTATTAAAATGGGTTCGCCCGTCTGTCTGTCTGTCCACCCGTCTGCCTGTCTGTCCGTCACACTTTTTGGGACACAATAACTGAGCTAGAAATGTTCAAACTTTGTGTAGGTTTTTATTAGGCAGAGATAGGGTAAGCAGAGATAAGCAATTTGATTGGTTGATACTTTGGGACACGATAACTTTAGTTCTAATTAAGTGAGAGTGATGAAACATGGTGTATAGTTTCATTACATCATAACCTTGACTAAGTTCGATAATAAGCATTGTCTGCTCAGAGTAAGCAGAGCGATAAGCAATTTAATTGGTCGAGACATTGGAACACAATAACCCTCCTTCTAATTTAGCTAGAGCATTCAAACCTGATGTAGGTGTTTGTTAGGCAAATGCCTTGATGGAGTTCGAAGATGAGCATTTTCTGCTTAGGGTAAGCAGAGATACGC